TGAACCAGGACTAAACCGTTTTCAGTCCTGGTCTAGTCCTGGTCTGGTCCCGGTGTCAGTCCTGGTCTGGTCCCGGTCTGGTCCTAGTCTGGTCCTGGTCTCAGTCCCAGTCTGGTCCCGGTCTGGTCCAGGTCTGGTCCAGGTCTGGTCCCGGTCTGGTCCGGTCTCAGTCCTGGTCTGGTCCGGTCTGGTCTCAGTCTGGTCCCTCATGGTCTGGTCTCAGTCCCGGTCTGGTCCAGGTCTGGTCCCGGTCTGGTCCCTGGTCTCAGGTCTGGTCCCTGTCTCAGTCCCGGTCTGGTCCAGGTCTGGTCCCGGTCTGGTCCTAGTCTGGTCCCGGTGTCAGTTCCAGTCTGGTCATGGTCTGGTCCTGGTGTCCGTCCCGGTCTGGTCAGTCCTAGTCTGGTCATGGTCTGGTCCCAGTGTCAATCCCACTCTGGTCCCGGTGTCCATCCTGGTCTTGTCCAGGTCTGGTCCAGGTCTGGTCTCGGTCTCAGTCCCAGTCTAGTCCAGGTCTGGTCCTGGTGTCAATCCCAGTCTGGTCCAGGTCTAAGTCCTGGTTCAGTTCAGGCAGTTGTTTATATTTTAAGGAAAAATAAACAAAAAAAGTGTGTGGAAAAGAATGAAAGTACATTTTTAAAGACCTATTTTTTGTGTCTGATATGTATTTATAATCTACATCTGCAATAATGAAATCACCAACAGTAAAATTAATTTCAGTTCACATTTTATTCATGTTATATATTGTATACAAACACCCACAAGAACACATTCATCAAGTGCCAGTTAAAAAAGATTATACAAATTCATAGGCTTTTTGTCTCAGATATCGTGTATTGGCTTTTACGGTCCATTATTTGATGATTAAACTGGAACGACATGATCAATCGCCACAAAATGTCCATTAAATCAATAAAGAAAAGTCATTATTATATTGTTCTGTGTGGAAGACATTGCAGATTACGATGTCTTGTGTTGATTTACCTTGATAAATACTACTCACTATTGATATTTTGCACTTAATGTTGTCAATATTCCCGAGGGGCGTGATGCTAACTAGAGGCACTGTTAGCATCATGCTTGTTAGCATAACTGTTACTCGTGTACGATCTTAATTTGAGTTTTGTTTGAACACAATCTGACCGTAAAGAACTAACTTAATTGGAACTACAAAAAAATATCTGATTCGTGCTGTTAAACGAGTTATTTTCAGAATTAATTACAAGCTAGCTAGCATAATTACAAGCTAGCTAGCGTTAGCCAACAGTTTTTCAGTTAGTCACGATCGCCGTTTTGTTTAAACTCAAACTACGAAACAAAACCATAAACGTTCGTATTGATCACAGGCTCCTGAAAATGCGCTGTTGTTTAAATCATTTTGTGTTTTTTCGTGAGTGTTGTTGACTATTTTAAAACGTATCAGGTTGTGTTTGCTAGTGTGTGCGTTGCGTCATCATGGTAGCTGTTGGCCATTTCAACATAGACATACATGTAGAACCTGCCCAGCGCGATGTCACTGCAAAGTATCAATAGACCTTCTAAAAGTTCATAAACAAAACCATTCTAAATAGACGTTTTTTCACGAAGTGCCACGACGTAGATGTCCGGTTAATGGTTTTCTACGGCAAAATAATGCCTCGGAAATGTCTCGCGTATTTTCCACCAGCTTCTTAAATCTGCCCCATCACCAAATCTTCAACCAACAATGTTGACAAAAGATAAACATTCTGTCCATGAAGAATTTAAAGAAACGTAAAGGTGAACAACGACGACGCATTAGTGAACTACTGAGCAAAACTAATATTATGGTCATGAATAAAACATAAGGAGCTCGTGAACTCAGACTGATTCTACAATTAAAATTAAAAATCAATTTCATGATGTAGATATTTGCATAGACAGAGAGATTTGTGCAGTTCGAGTGCTACACATGTTCACAGATTTAACGTCGAGCATTTAAATTGCACAAATCTCTCTATCTATGCTGATATCTACTTTATGAAATCGATTTTTAATTTTAACTGTAGAATCAGTCTGAGTTAAAAAAGTTACTTATGTTTTATTCATGACCATAATGTTAGTTTTGTTCACTAATGCGTCGTTGTTGTTCACCTTTACGGTTTCGTCTTTATTACCTTGATAGTTGTGGATAAATTCTTCATGGGAAGAATGTTTATCCTTTGTTGACCTTTTTGGTTAAAAATTTGGTGATAGGGCAGATTTACGAAGCTGGTGGAAAATACGCGAGACATTTCCACAGATATTTTGCCATAGAAAAGCATTAAATGGGAGTTAAGTTTTCCCTACATTGCAGCACTTCCGGACGTCAATTCGGAAATGGAGGCAACTGGAGACAAAAATGAATTGGAACATAATGTGATGTCAATGGAGAAACTTCGGTTCACGTCAAAATATTACAACATATGAAAATAAAGCAAACTAAGTGATGTTTTTCTACCCAGACATTGTGGTGTGGTTGCCTCTATTCCTTAAAGGTTCTATATTACACAAAATGGACTCTTGTGAACTTTAATCCATGTTATAATGTTGTTACCTCCTCAAAAACAAACCTGAAGTTGTGTTTTGTTTCATTCATACATGTTTGAGTAAAGATTTATCAGTCTGTCTACATCTCCAAAGCTCAAAATGCTCTGCTCCACCTTGTGATGTCATGTAGTGAGCAGTAGTTTTCAAGTTAACATCTACATTTTACTTTTAGTTAAGTCGAAATTGGCAGTTCCAGTGGTGAACTTAGCCAAATGATTCTAGTGAAGGTCTATGGAGTTTAAAAACACAGTGGAGCCTTTCCTGTGTTACCACATGACATCACAAGGTGGAAGAGAGTGTTTTTAGATCGAGAGAAGACCTCTTAAAGCGTAAATATGCAGGTTTTTTGTGTTAAACATGTGCGAATGAAACAAAAGTCCAAAAATAGTGTCATATAGACCCTTTAAATTTGAACATTCTGGTCACATACGATATTAAAAAAAGGTCTACAATATAAATTTCTTCGTGTTGGCTTTCAGGAAAACCGAGCAGAATTCCCACGATGGCCGTTAGCCCTAAGGTGGAGGATGTGAGAAAATGGGGCCGAGTCTGGAGAATGAGAGTGAAAGAGGTAAAAGGAGAAGGGAGAGTGGAAAGAGCAAGAGCAGAGGGGACTACACAGATACCATTGTGACTGTCACTAGTCATTCACAAGGTCCTCTGTTCAGTTCTGCTTTTATTGCCGGGTATCAGATGACGTCACTGCATTCTCTAAAGTCTGCAGACGGGGGCAGGTAAAAGGTGTAGCTGGATAAGTACAACCAGACAATTTGAGGTTCGTGATACAGTACATTGGAATCAAAACGAAACTGTGGCTGCTTTATGTTTAATTTACAAAGCTACAAATTAAACCGGAATTTTCGTTGACGTCACTTGAAATACAGCAATTCATCAAGTAAATAATTGTATCTTCTTTTTTTTTTTTTGTGCCAAGCAGAAAAACAACAAAACGACCTTGAAAACAGTGAAACCGAGACAAGATAAAGGTAGAAAAGAGAGCCCGTCTAGTTTGTATTCATTCAGAAGTGGAATTCAACTAAATACACAATCACTAAGTCAAGTAGCTTAAATTGTGATTAAACCATTGCTTCAAAACACTTTATGATAGAAAAAAAAATACATGTAAATAACATTTTAAAGGTGCACTATATTTTTACTTTGCCTGAAATATGACACAGTATGGCATTAAACACATCCAGCTTGTGTTTATTCAATTATAGGCGTCGCCAAACAATTGAAAAGCACGCATTCTACTATGAGCAAGCTCGCCTCTCCACAGATCTGACCTGTAACTTGGCCTGATGACGTCGCCTGCTTGTGTCTGCGGTGTTTTCAAGGCAATTATTAGTTATAATTTCATATTACTGGATTTCAGATGCTTGAATGTGATTATGTCATTCTCCCAGACAGGGGTGTACAAAAATATTTAAATATCGTATCGTTTAATGTGATGATACAGTATCGATATCGTGGGCTGCTGTATTTTGCTAAATTATTTTGTTACAGTGGTACAGTTTTGTGTCTTGTTCAGAGGAAGGAAACTCGTTTATCCAACACATTTGACATTTTCACTGTTTTGACGATTAAAATGTTTGTGTTTCATATGAACTTTGCACAAGAAGTGGTTTAACAAAGACTTTTAGCATCACATCCATGCTTTACCCATTAATTTTTATTGAATGCCGTATCGAATCAATTTCAAAATGTATCATATCGAATCATATTGAATCAAAAGCCGTATAAAGATATGTATAGTATCTGCAACTTCCTAATGATCCCCAGCCCGACACCCAGATGAGGGAAACAGTTTTCCTTATCGATTACATTGTACTTTACCATGAAATATCCAAAAGGTAAATTCACAAATGTTGAACCTGAACATTTCTATCAGTGTTTAGACAAGACATGGGCATTGTGCAGCTCCCAGCCCACATACGATCCTTTAGTTGACGGACGAGAAGTGAGGAGCAGGGAGAAGAGCGGAGCGGGCAGCGGGGACAGGAGCAGGAAAGGGGAGCAGAGAAGGTTGCGCGGAGATTCAGTGCGAATGAACTAGCTACAACACGCAGCAGCAAGCGGACTCTTTCTTTGCCTTGAAAATTACGTTTTCAGACATAGGATATCGCTTTCGTGTCCTGAAAAACGTTTGTCTAGCTCTTGGAAATAAAGTATGTTTTCATAATAAGCAGAAGTGACCTGTCCAGGAGTAATTTGGCGACCAGTGCGTCAGTCTTTAGACCCTGCGTCTGCTTCAGTCGCGCCATCGCTGGAATGAATCTTCAAGAATCACCTTAGTTTGGCTTCGCTGCTTTTCCCCTTGTCTTCTTCTTTCAGCGACCTCAAAAACGGACTTTCTTTTGCGGCTAACAGCTCCTGGATTCTTGTCGCCATTGCAACAAACTTTGTGTGAACTGCGAGGAAGATATAGGTCAAAAAAGCCGCTAAGAACTGTTGCGTTGGTGGAGTAAACAGCGTCTGTGCGTCTTGCGTCTGTGGACTGCGTGACAGGTGTACGTAAACCACGTAACGGCAGCGCGCAGGCAAGTCAGTTACGCTAGAAACGTAGGGAGTTTGATTGACAGCCTGTCAGCTCACAGATAACGAGGCAGTGTCGTTATCTATTGGCAAATGTTTAGCCCCACCACGTCCAGAGTTGATGAATTTTTATTCTCTTTTTTTTTGGTCATCATAATTACAAGGCTACTGCACCTCTATAATGCTATCATTGACAATTTGAAACAAAAAAAATCCTCCATACAACCTTTAAGCTAATTTGGAATTACAAAATAAACATAATTTATCATTTTACCTCCTGCATGAACTAAAACAGCATTGCTTTTACTTTAGAGGTGTTTTTTATGACATTTTTTGTAAGGCAACCTCACTTTTTCATTGCTTAGTCATAACATAAACTCTTACCAGTCTCACCAGCTTGTCAAAACAATCCTATTCACTGCTTTTTTATAAAGAAATGCAATAAATATTATGCAGAACTGAGCTGACATTTTGACATTTTGGCCCGGCCCTCCACAATATTTTCTGTTTTCTGGCCTCACAATGCAAAAACTAAAATCTATCCATGTTACGATGACTTGAATTAAGAAAGTTTAATGAAAGTTTGAGTAAATTTCACAAGTAAAATGATCTGCCAAGATTTTTCGTACTTAAAACATAAAAATACATCTTGCTACACTTCAGATAAGAAAAACAACAACTCTTTGCACTTAAAATCAAGTTAATTTAAGCCAAGATATTGCTTTTTGCGGTGCGTGAATGAAAATAATTGCCCACCCCTGGTCTAGACACAAGAATTCACTGTATGGCAACAAAAATCTGCATTTTAACAATATTAATTTTAGCCGCTCCCCATATATATTTAATAACATTGGTCTATAGAATGTTGTGAATTAATCTGAAACACAGCAATAGGCCAATGATGTGGTTCAACATTTGTGAATTTACTTTTTGGATATTTCTCTTTCTTTTTTACAATGGAATCTGTAGGAAAAACTGACCTTTGTGCCTGTCTCAAAGTATGGTATCATCTAATTTTGGAAGTTGATAATTGTGGATAGCAGGTGGCAAACCCTTCACAAAAAAAGTTACACCTTCAAAAAATAAGTGAAGAAATTATTAAATGTTGAATAATGTAGTTGGTTACAGCGACAATAATTAAAATACCAGCTACTATATAATTAAACCTTTTCTCCTCTCATTTTGGCTTTGGGTTCAGCATCGTAAAAGTAGGATTTAAACATGTGGTGTAAAACGGAGCACTCAGAAAACTACCGCCATAACCACGAAACTGGAAATAAAGCGTCTCTAAAGTCTGTTTCCGACGCTCATTTTATCACACATCAAGCCTCCAGTGAGCCATGGGTTTAAAGAATTAAATTAGAATTGACAACAGGATAATAAATATGTTAAAATATTTCGTACAAAACAAGGTAACGGCACAATTGGGTCATATTAGTGCGCGGTAAGATGAATATAGAGGTCCCTTAGGGGTACCCCAGAGGAGCGTAGTGGGACTCTTTAAATTGTCACTCAAGTTTGAATGTCTTTTTCACAATTAGCAGCTCCCAAGGGAAAGACCGGAGAGTTTTATGGTTTCAATAAGACTGTGAGGAGAGAAATAGGCTGTCACACATCACTTCAGCTGAAAAAGTTTAATCCGAGTTCATTTCTCTAGACTTAAAATACGAAGTTTCTCGAGAAGTAGTGACGTAAATGTGAATCTGCTTTGTGCTCTCACCAAAACATACTAAAGATTGTGTTGGGATTCATTTAGTATTTCAAATCCAGTGCATTTAAATTTATGTTTGTGATGATTACAATTTAAAGGTAATAAAAAGTTAATTAAATACCTCTATATATATTTAAAGGTGTATTGTGTAACTTTTCTGGTGGCTGGAAGGGTTCGTCAAATGTGTTTTTCCGTGCAGATGTTGTTGCTTTGTCTGGAATGTTTCACAGTTTGGCATTAAACCTTTCTATCTTCACAGAGACCAAAGCAGACCGAGTTACAGGTCAGATCTGTGGAGAGGCGACCCCGCTCAGAATCAGAATGTCTGTTTTTCTTTATATTTTTGAGCTATAAAACCATAGCCCGAGTCATCAGCCGGTTTCACTTTGTGGAAACAGTCTGACCTCACAGCATTAGGATTCGTTCACTCAACGGTAGGCGGGTACTTTTTTTTAAATTTAACCAATCGTTGCTATTTGGTCGTGGCGATGTAATGCATGTAATACTGGGGCTAACTGGTATATTAAGCTTTTCCCAAATCCCGTAGGAAGAAGAGCAATAACGTCTTTCCCCTTGACAAAATTCACTAAACCTTCTCTTTGTTCCAGCTTTAAATCCTCAATCTCAGGAATCGTTGCCAACACAGAATGTATGGCTCTTCGCTGATTGGCTGGTGCCCGAACTCGCACTTCCGGGGTTCTTGCAAACTGTCTAGTGTATTTGATTCCTGACCTAGTCGCTGAAGAGAAATTAAACTGAGCGGAGGCACTAGGTGGCGCCAGCCTGGCTAATAAAACCACCTGTAATCGAATAAATGTAAGGTAGAACTGTTTAATGTCACACTGTGGAACTTTCCAGGCAGAGCAATGACATATCCATAGAAACAAGCAGGTGACGGACCCCCAACTAAAAAGTTACATAGTGCACCTTTAACATTTGAATACAAACCAATACTGTGTAATCTCCATAAATAATAAAAACTTACTTTGTGCTAAATCTACTTGAAATGTAGAAACTGCACTTCCACAGTCCCCTTATTTATCGAGTGTCTGTATAATCATTAAGCTTATGTTTTTAAACAATGTTATAATTATTGGCATTGTGAACTGTGAACTGTCAAAACAAAATTGAAATTAGTTATAGAAAAAAAATCTATTTGAACACACCTCACAAACAGTTGTGGCTTCATTTCTGTGTGCTGTACAGCGTCATTGTAGCACTGCAACATCTGAAGTTAAAATGTGGAAGATAATTTGTTCCATCGGATTTTAAATTTTAAATACCGCTGAATTTCTCACTTTGAATTTTTGAAATCTGAAAAATGAACTGAATTCTTTTTATTCTGAATTTTAGCTGCTGAAATTTTAAGTATACTTTTTCAGTATATTTCAAATACAAAATTAAGATTTCACCTTTTAAATATTCAGTACAAATATATTCAAGCCTTCAAATTCCATCCATCGATTTTCTTCCGCTTATCCAGGGGCACAGGGGCAGAAGTCTAAGTAGGGACTCTCACACTTCCTTCACCCCAGACACTTCCTCCAGTTCCTCCAGGGTGACCCCAAGGCGCTCCCAGGCCAGCCCAGAGACATAGTCCCTCCAGCGTGTCCTGGGGCCTCCTTCTGGTGGGACTTGCCCACTTGTATCTGTGATCTCGTCCTTTCGGCCCTCAAATTCTACAGTCAAAATTCAAACACTTTGAAAATGTACACTTACAATTACAGCAACTAAAATTCAGAATAAAAATAATTCAGACATGTGGCATTTAAAACTCAAAATCTGATGAAACAAATTATCTTCCATATTGAAATAACTTGAATTCAGAATATGTAGTAGTTTGATTCACTGTTTGATTGTTTAAAGTGGGACTAAACGCCTAAACTCTGCCCACAGCTACAGTGAAACTAGAGCTGTTAGACTGGCAGTGTGTGTGTGGACTGAAGCAGAGCGTGAGAGCGGGGGAGGGGCGTGGTCTGAACTTATGAGGTACAGTGTGATTGGTCCAACAAGTATCCACACTTCAAACCCCGCTCCTTAACCAGGGCAGTCATGCGTAATGTCACAAAGTACTTCAAACTGAAAGGGCCACAGCATGCAGCACACTCACTTAGTTTTTGTATGTTTTTAACCACAAAGCTACAAATGACAAGGAACAGTAAACAGTTCTATTAAAACACCATGTACACAGTTTAGTCCAGGGGTGGGCAAACTTTTTGACTCGTGGGACACAAAGAGTTCTAAAATTTGACGGAAGAGTCGGACCAGGAGGAGATGGAGGGAGTTTTTTGGTAAACCACCTTATAAGAGAAAAAAATAACATGGGATATGACTTTCTCTGACTTCCTGCCAGCATCGTCAGCATGTTTTGTGGTAAAGCGTCGGCTGATATTATATTCTTTAAAAACCGCAACAGTCTCTTTGCATATCGGGCATACAGCAGTTGATCGGTGTTCAGTAAAAAAATATTTAGTTATCCGCTCGACATTCTCTATCTTTACAGAAGGGTTTAGGGGTCAGTACAGCATAATCTGAATGCATCGTAATACGACGAACCTCGATAAAGGTGAATGTATCTAAAGTGCCCTCTATTGGTAAATGCTGGAATTGCAGGAAAAATAAAACATTAACAAGTTTTTTTTTTTTTTTTATTATTATTGTTGTATTTTATTTGTTATTTATTCAAGTTCGGCGGGCCAGATTAAAAAGATTAAAGGGCCGCAGTTTGCCCACCTCTGGTTTAGTCACACTAAAAGTTAATTTAGTGTTTAGTTCCACTTTAAGTTGAAGTAAGATGATTAACAATGAGAAAGTTACATTTGTGTTATTTTGAGTGCTATTTCCTCACTCCTCTGACAGATGATTGAGCTTAATGTTAAAAGGAAAAATCTGTAATAGCCAAGTTAAAAAAAAAAAATTGTTCAAGCTACTTAAAGAGCGTATATTACACGCTTTTCCAATCTACGTTATAATGTTCTTTCTTCGTCAAAAACAGACCTGGAGTTGGTTTTATGAAACAAAACACGTGTTTAAAACAAAAATTCTGCATTTATAGGCTGGTTTCTTGTCACAAACAGAAACAAACTCCATACACTTTCACCAGAATCATTTGGATTTCACCCCAGGAATATCCAAACTCCAGTGAATAAAAGGTAAAATGCAGCTGTTCACTTGAAAACTACAGATTCATAACATCACAAGGTGGAACAGAGCATTTAGAGCTTTGGAGACGAAAACTCAAACGTGTGAATGAAACAAAACACAACTCCAGGTCTGTTTTTGAGGAGGTAACAACATTTTAACATGACTTAAAGCTCACAAGAGTCAATTTTGTGTCATATAGGAGCTTTAAAAACAAATATTCAGAATTCAAGTCATTTCCTCAAACGTAAATCACCCTCTTTTTTGCAGTGCGTGTGAGTGTGCTGGAATTGTCCGTCTTGTGGCAGTCAAACATCCGTGCTGTAGGACTGGAGCGGGGGCGGGGGAGGGGGGAACATCTCCGAAGACCCGTAGAAACTCAGGCTGAGGGGGGAGGGCGTGTGCGGCAGGGTGGAGCCGTGGGACGGGGGCTCGTAGTAGGTGTGGAAGCCCAGCCGCTCGCCCCCGTTGAGCAGCTCGTGGTGGTGGGCCAGTCCCGGGGAGCAGGAGGGGCACAGGCTGAGGGGGGAGGCGGGGGACAGGGGCGACAGGGGCGAGGGGGTGCACAGCTGGTCCAGGGACACGGGGGTGATGTCGGTCCCGTCCATCTCCAGAGCGGCGCAGGCGTCGCAGGGGAAGTGAGAGAGAGGGTCGGCCCCCAGAGAGCCCAGGCCCACCTCCGCCTCAGGCTTCTTACAGCAGTAGTACTACAGACACACAGAAACACATGTCATAAATCAAGAACTGAGCTTTGGGAAACTATAGGTGGACAAAAAGAGTTACGTTCAATATATCAGATGAAAAACTTCAAATGAGTTAACCTTAAGATACAAGCTCGATTGTCAAACTTACAAAAATCCTTCTTGTACAGCTCCACAAAACTTTAGGTATGGAGCAAAACGTTCTCTACAAATACATGCACACAACTAACCTCCTGAGAGCTGTAATAAGTTAAATTAAATAGTAATTAGCTACTTTATTCTGAGCAAGATAGCAGTTTGACAAGACTAAAGCACATGTCAGCCACCGGGACGAGGGAGGGGGTAAAATAAAAAAAAACTTACAGAAATTCTTACAAAAATACCTACAAGACTAGAGCTACTGTAGACCACGACTATTGATTAAACACATGCTTTTCTTGAAATTTTATTTTATTTTTTTTAGCATTACCTTTTATTTTTATAAACGATAAACTTTTGTGCCTCTTTTAACATTAGTATAGGCGAGTTTCATTGTTGACAAAAGCGCGCGTTGCATGTTGGGAACTATTTTGGTCGGCGGCAAGAAACACTAATTCAACATGACGGACGGAGCGAGAAAGCACGTAAAGGGTATTGATCCCGGTTATTTATCCACTCTAACGGCAGAGGACCCAAGACCATTTGACCAGAAATTGGTCATAAGCATCGATGGACGACAAATCACCCTTTTCAACCCCTAAAGAGCCTGGACCAAACCAAATTTCTGGTCAGAATCGCCAACTACCTGGACAAATATTCACTTTGGCGATATCCACAATGACTTGGTGGAAACTCCTGGGCCATTCACAGCAGAAAAGATGAAAACCTCCAAGAGTCTCGATGTGTTGTTGAACTTGTTGGAGTCCACGGTTTGCTAGGATCTTCTACGTTTTGCTCTGCGGATGTTTGAAAGCCGTTTAATTCACCGTTAGCGGTTCTTTTCACTCGGAATACGAAAAAGACATTTTCCTTCTTCCGTGCTTCTATTTGTGCATCCGATAATGCAGCAGGAATTTACCGTTATCGGGGATAAATACGCGAGGTTACGCACTGTGTTTGACCACTACTGTGTTTCTTGCCTCCGACCAAAATATTTCCCAGCATGCAACGCGGGCTTTTAATAACAATGACGTCAGCTGAAACTCGCCTATTAGTTTGTACGACCATAAACAAAAAATCCTTACATTTTTTTCATTCTCATTATGGTTTATTTTGTACGATCATAAACGATAATCTTTTGTGCCTTTGTTAACATTGCTATTACAACCATAAATGAAAAAAAATTTATAAAAAAATCAAAACGGGCATCTTTAAAAAAAAAAAAATGAACATAAGAACTAAGAAAAGAAGTGATTGTATTTCTGTTGGAGGGGGTTAGTTTATGGAACAACGTGAGGTCCAGCACTGTAAAAACCTTCGAAAAATGTATAAAGTGTAAAGTGTAAAAGTGTTATGCATTCAATTTAGTTTGTTTTAATTTATATTTTGTCACTTATATGTACAGTGAGTCATAAGTTAAGCTGTAAATGCAAACTTTTCTTTCTTGGAATTCTGTTTTTAATAGGGTTTGGTTCTTTTGCTTCAGCTTGGACTCTTTCTGTCATGGTCCATGTAGTTGTGGTCTGTTTTGTTTTTGTTTTGTAAAAAAAAAAAAAAAAAAAAAGAAAGTCTATTTCAAGTGAGTATAAGTAGCATATACTCAAAATAAATAAATAAATAACAGACGTACTGTATATTTTATAAATGGTGAAACTATTGTTGGATTTATTCATCTGTTGTTCCCAAAGCTACTTGAAAATCAGAAAATTTTTTGAGACTACAGGTTATATTTTCTTTATGATGTCAGTAATTCATAGTAATATAATAAACTAGTAGTAGTATTTAAGAAACACATCTACTAACAAAATCCATGGCACTATCACTTACAGCCTCCTTACCAAAAGAGTGGATTTGAGCATTTCAGCTTCTACCAACAGCGGTCTGCATATTTGACCAACGGAACAAAACTAAATGATCCCTGCTGTATATTTAGATAAAGAGTGACATGTACCTGGAGTCTACAGTAACAGAGCACCGCTATGATGCACAGCAGGATGACTCCGGCCAGTATTCCCCCGGTTATCACGATCGTTCCAGCGGACATTCGACCTGTTCTCCATCCAACCTGCACATCAAAAAACCACACGTGCGTCACATAAGAGCACCGCTTCAGCTGCAATAATAACACTCTGTACTTACATCCAAGGAAGGCTTCTATAATACCTGGAAAGACACAAAACAGAAATGAAACTAAATGTGTAAGATTGTTAGTTGTGATTATAATGTAAATAGGCCACTGATGTAACCCACGGTAAACACATGTTATCCAGCTGCCCCTCCACACGTCCACATGTGAGTGTTCAGTGTTCAGATGCTGCGCTGAACACTTACATGTGGACATGTGGTAGGGCACATGTCCACATGTAAGAATTACTTTTATTCATCCCCAAGGGGAAATTCTTTTCATTTTAGACATGCAGCTGAGCAGCAGAAGTTCAAATATAAAACATATATATATATATATCAGTAGCTTAAAGAAAATAACTGCAAGTCTTAATCAATTAAACCCACAATAAAATAAACTTCAATGATAAAAATGTAGTACTTCCATAACATTTTTACATCAGTCCAGTTTTACAAAAAGGAGGTGTGAAGAGAATATTGCAGAAGGTTGTACAGTAAGACTTTACAGCACAGAGTTGAGAAGATGCAAAAGTGACGTCTCATCTTCACTTTTTATTCCGCGTTTAGACGAGCGTTTTCGGGAGGAAATCTGCATGCATACGGTGATGCAAATGTGTCTGGAATTCGATTGGGTATGCATGCCGGGCGGCTCGGCGCCTAGGTGTTGATGTACGTGACGTAAACCAGATCTGACCAGAGTTTTGCGTCTTGGGCAATGTAGACGGAAACACTACAGCGGAGTGTATTAAACTTTTCCACTCTGGAGGTGGTTTCAGATTTTTGAGTATTTAAGTCCCAAAACGGGCCCTCGGTGGAGCAGCGTGGCATGAAGAGTCTATGGTCGAACGAGCTCTTGTAGCTGACCAAGTGGAGTGCGGGGAGGGAGAGTCCAGAATAGTCCTGATTTTGGACAACATTGTCCTGTCCGACACTACAGTCACAGAGTCCAGCTCCTCCCCCCACAACATGGCACCTTCTTCATGATCTTTCTGAGTCTAATAGTGTCCCTCATGTGCAGACTTCCCCAGCAGACCACAGTGTACATGATGCCCCTGGATGCTACAGGCTCATAGAACATCCTGAGTATTGTCCTGCAGATGTCAAAGGACCTCAGCCTCCCCACAGAGTAGAGGCGGCTCTTGTTCCTCGTTCCAGTCCAGTTTATTGGCTGTTAGACATTGCCATATTGCAGGTTTATTCAACTTGTGGCATGGAAACCAGATGAGGCCTTCAAAATCGAGTTCAAACTACTGTCCAAATGTAAAAATATTTTCTCTTTTTCACTGCTTTAGAATTGCTTTAATTCTGGGTTAGTACTACTTTAGTCCTGGTTTAGTGTTTGTTTAATTCTGTTTTAGACAAGGTTTAGTCCTGGTTGAATTCTGCTTTAGTCCCATTTACCACTAATTAAGTCCTAGTTTATTTAACACTGGTTCAGAACTGGATTGGCAATTTCAGAAAGCAATGTCAGTGAAGCCTTTTGCATTTTATTTTTCACAAAAATCAAATATAAGAATTGTTGTGTTTGATCTAGTGTTGGAAATATTCAGTGTTGGGGAGTAACAGATTACATGTACCAGAGTTACGTAACCAGAGTACAAATTATGAGTAACTGTATTCAGTTACAGTTACTGTTTCAGTGAGTGGTAATTGGATTACAGTTACTTTATTGAAATAAATTACACAGCGGTATTTTCCTGTTTTCACTTTTTTTGGTCTTTTTTTGGTACTTCCACTCATTGCCGGACACTAAACCAGGTCAAAAACCAGGTCTAAACCAGGTCCAAACCAGGTCTAAACCAGGATTAAAACCAGGTCTAAACCACGTCCAAACCAGGACTAAAACCAGGTCTAAACCAGGGCCAAACCAGGTCTAAACCAGGACTAAAACCAGGTCTAAACCAGGTCTAAACCAGGGCCAAACCAGGTCTAAACCAGGACTAAAACCAGGTCTAAACCAGGTCTAAAACCAGGGCCAAACCAGGTCCAAACCAGGTCTAAACCAGGACTAAAACCAGGTCTAAACCAGGTCTAAACCAGGTCCAAACCAGGTCTAAACCAGGTCTAAACCAGGTCTAAAACCAGGTCCAAACCAGGTCTAAACCAGGATTAAAACCAGGTCTAAACTATGTCTCAAACAGGATTTAACAGGACTAAATGATGCTGCGCGGTCGTGTCTCCTCCTCTTCTGTCAATAATATTTTTAATTTGGTCAAGTAAAGTCTGGTCTTTTTTAAATTTTCTTTTAGCAGATAAAACATCTTATGTGAAGATTTCCTCATCTTTGCTTCTCTACAGCAAATCAAGTAATCCAAAGTATTCAGATTATGTTACTCACTTTAAGTAATTTAATGGATTACGTTACTAACTACATTTTGGGGCATGTAATCTGTAATCTGTAGGGGAATACATTTTAAAAGTAACCTTCCCAACACTGGAAATATTTCGTCCGACCCAAAATTGTGCTGAAAGTGTTGGTGTGAAAGTTGTTGAATTGCCCTGTCATAAAGTGAACCACTTGAGCGCACCTAACGCTCTAATTCTCAGCAGTAATTAATCTGCGCGGTGACAGAGTGCTTAGCGTTGCTGGCTCTCAAGTAGAAGGTTGCGGGTTAGATTCTCTGCCTCAATTAATGTGGCAGAGATTACGGGACGACGTTCCTGGAGACAAGCAGGTGGCGAACCCAGAAAAGAAATAAATAAATGACTGCTGTTACTCTGCTTCTGCTGCTAATTTTACTTTTACTTCAAACATAATCCTTCAAATCCCCGCGCGTTCTTTCTTTGTGTGTGTCCCTGCGCATGATAAAGCCCAGGTCTGTGTCTGCGGGCTGTTTATCCCTCTCTGTTTATTTGCGCATTAACTGCTCTTTGTTGTCGGCAGAGGTCAGGGACGTTGACAAGGAGCAGAGTGCCCCCTGGAGGCAGCAGCGTAAACAAACATAAGCCCTTACATCAGAGGACAGCGGGACATCGAAGGAGGTCGGGGGTCAGGCTCGGCAGGTGGACGGCAGGCGGGACTTCGCGGGTCAATCTGGAAGACACGTGCGAGAGAGAGTTAGGAGAGGGAAGAAAGATAAATCAAAAATGGAACAAAAATGCGGTTTGAAGTGTTGGATCAGAAAAGGAGGAGCGTGAGAGGAGTGGGCACGTGTGGGGAAGCTGGACAATGTGGTTGCACACGGCAAAAAACAATATCTAAGTAAGTTAAAACGACTTAAATTAAGAACATTTGACTTTATTTGAGTGGATTCAGCTTGACAAGTAAAAGGATCTATCAATGGAACAAGTGTGTTTTTCTTAATTCAAGCAGCATTTGATTTTGTTTCTCATTTTAAGTGCGTAAGAGTTGTTGTTTTTCTGATTTTAAGATCTATTTTCATATTTTAAGCACAAAAAGTCGTATTCCTCTCATTTGTCAAATGAAATTTACTCAAATCATGATAAAACTTTCTTAATTCAAGACATCTTAACTTGGCTAGATTGTAGTTTTTGCGGAGTAAGTAGGAGGCAGACTCAGACAAAAAAAAAAAGAAATGTACAGAAAATTTGCAAAAATGTATTAAAGAAGCAACAGAAATGAACAAAATTGAGGAAAAACCCATGTGTGCAGTTACCAGTGTTGGGAGTAATGCATTATAAAAGTAACGAATTACTGTAATGTGTTGCTTTTTGCTGTAACGGAGTAATGTAAGACAATACAGGGAAAAATGGTAATATTTTAGTTGGTACAAATGTCAGTGATGCGCGTTACAAAGCTTTTTTAACCTGGATTGAAGTGGTGGGTTTTTCGTTTTTCTTCATGCAAATTCACTAAAATCACCGCGATATCAGCAGCGGTGAAACGACATCGTTACGGTTCCGAATGTCGGGACTGGCCCAAAGGTCGCCAGCGTAGACCGCGGGCAAAAGGACCAGAGCAAAGGCCTGTGCTCCACGGTGGTAACTGCAGCTGACGCCCTGTCACGCTTTGAGGACACCTGCTCCACGCGCTCGAGGTTCTCTCAGGGGCGGTCCTAGATTCCAAGTCCTAGTCCAAGATTTGTCCTGTTTTTGTCCTGTTTTAGTCCTGCATAGTCCTGGTTTAATCCTGGATAGTCCTGTTTTAGTCCTGGTTTAGTCCTGGTTTAGTCCTGGTTTAGACCTGGTTTAGTCCTGGTTTAGACCTGGTTTAGTCCTGGTTTAGTCCTGGTTTAGTCCTGGTTTAGACCTGCTGGTTTAGTCCTGGTTTAGTCCTGGTTTTAGTCCTGGTTTAGTCCTGGTTTAGTCCTGGTTTAGTCCTGGTTTAGTCCTGTTTTAGTCCTGGATAGTCCTGTTTTAGTCCTGGATAGTCCTGTTTTAATCCTGGTTTACTCCTGGTTTAGTCCTGGTTTAGTCCTGGTTTAGACCTGGTTTAGTCCTGGTTTAGTCCTGGTTTAGTCCTGGATAGTCCTGTTTTAGTCCTGTTTTAGTCCTGGATAGTCCTGTTTTAATCCTGGTTTAGACCTGGATAGTCCTGTTTTAGTCCTGGTTTACTCCTGGTTTAGTCCTGGTTTAGACCTGGTTTACTCCTGGTTTAGACCTGGTTTAGTCCTGGTTTAGTCCTGTTTTAGTCCTGGTTTAGTCCTGTTTTAGTCCTGGATAGTCCTGTTTTAGTCCTGGTTTACTCCTGGTTTAGACCTGGTTTAGTCCTGGTTTACTCCTGGTTTAGTCCTGATTTAGTCCTGGATTTAGTCCTGTTTTAGTCCTGGTTTAGTCCTGGTTTAGACCTGGTTTACTCCTGGTTTAGACCTGGTTCAGTCCTGGTTTAGTCCTGGTTCAGTCCTAGATAGTCCTGTTTTATTCCTGGATAGTCCTGTTTTAGTCCTGGATAGTCCTGGTTTAGTCCTGGTTTACTCCTGGTTTAGACCTGGTTTAGTCCTGGTTTACTCCTGGTTTAGTCCTGATTTAGTCCTTGATAGTCCTGTTTTAGTCCTGGTTTACTCCTGGTTTAGTCCTGGTTTAGACCTGGTTCAGTCCTGGTTTAGTCCTGGTTCAGTCCTGGTTTAGTCCTGGTTTAGTCCTGGTTTAGACCTGGTTTAGACCTGGTTTACTCCTGGTTTAGTCCTAGATAGTCCTGTTTTAGTCCTGGATAGTCCTGGTTTAGTCCTGGTTTACTCCTGGTTTAGTCCTGATTTAGTCCTGGATAGTCCTGTTTTAGTCCTGGTTTACTCCTGGTTTAGTCCTGGTTTAGACCTGGTTCAGTCCTGGTTTAGTCCTGGTTCAGTCCTGGTTTAGTCCTGGTTTAGTCCTGGTTTAGACCTGGTTTAGACCTGGTTTACTCCTGGTTTTAGTCCTGGAGTTTAGTCCTGGTTTAGTCCTGGTTTAGTCCTGGTTTAGTCCTGGTTTAGTCCTGGTTTACTCCTGGTTTAGTCCTGGTTTTTAGTCCTCAGTCCTGGTTTAGACCTGGTTCAGTCCTGGTCCTGGTTTAGTCCTGGTTTAGTCCTTTAGTCCTGTTCAGTCCTTTCAGTCCTGGTTCAGTCCTGGTTTAGACCTTGTTTAGTCCATATATGGCAAAAGTTCAACATCTTTGCAGTTATTTTGGTGAGAGTAATTTAAAAGTGCTGTAAGAGTCATGTCATATTTTACATTTTAAAAACCGTATCATTGTAATGTAACGAATGACTTTGAAATGAGAGTAACAAGTCATAAATAACACATGACAGTTTTGAAGTAACTTGCCCAACAGTGACAGTCCCACTGATGTTCACCTCGACTAAAGCAGACTTTAATAGTCTCTCCAGCCGGTAAAACCTCCCTGGGGTTAGTACATTTCACTTTGCAGGTGACATTTTAGCAGCAAGCCAAATGTAGCTGTAACATTTACGTGGATCTGAGTCTCATAAACAGAACAGAAAACGAGAAACACAAGAATACTTAAGCATGTGACGGGTTAAAACTAAAATACAGTTGACATCAGTAGATTGAAGATTTCATTTGGAATCCAGCCTTTTCTGTTTTTGTCATTTATTTTGGTGAAGTTTATCATTTTACTTCTTAGTGTTGAGTATCATAAAGAAGTTGCCGATACGATACATACCTCGATACATAAGCCACGATACGATACATATCTCGATACAGTGAGCTTTTGATTCGATATGATTCAATACGATATATTTCAAATCAATTCTCTATGGTTCAGTAAAAAAATAAAGGCTAAATCAAGTCTTTGTTAAACCACTTCTTGTGCAAAGTTAATATAAAACACAAACATTTTAATCATCAAAACAGTGAAAATGTCAAATGTGTCGCGTTAATGAGTTTCAACAACAAAACTGTAGCGCTGTAACATTAGTTCTGGTTTCCTGTTTAGTCCTGGTTTAGTTTAGTCCTGTAACTGGTTTAGTCCTGGTTTAGAACCTGGTTTAGACCTGGTTTACTCCTGGTTTAACTGGTTTAGTCCTGGTTTAGTCCTGGTTTAGTCCTGGTTTAGTCCTGGTTAGTCCTGGTTTAGTCCTGGTTTACTGGTTTACCTGGTTTAGTCCTGGTTTAGTCCTTTTAGTCCTTAGTCCTGTTTTAGTCCTGGATAGTCCTGGTTTAGTCCTGGTTTAGACCTGGTTTACTCCTGGTTTAGACCTGGTTTAGTCCTGTTTAGTCCTGTTTAGTCCTGGATAGTCCTGTTTAGTCCTGGTTTACTCCTGGTTTAGTTCTGGTTTAGTCCTGGTTCAGTCCTGGTTCAGTCCTGGTTCAGTCCTGGTTTAGTCCTGGTTTAGTCCTGGTTTAGACCTGGTTTAGACCTGGTTTACTCCTGGTTTAGTTCTGGTTTAGTCCTGGTTTAGTCCTGGTTCAGTCCTGGTTTAATCCTGGTTTAGTCCTGGTTTAGTCCTGGTTTAGTCCTGGTTTAGACCTGGTTTACTCCTGGTTTAGACCTGGTTTAGTCCTGGTTTAGTCCTGTTTTAGTCCTGGATAGTCCTGTTTTAGTCCTGGATAGTCCTGGTTTAGTCCTGGTTTAGACCTGGTTTACTCCTGGTTTAGACCTGGTTTAGTCCTGGTTTAGTCCTGTTTTAGTCCTGGATAGTCCTGTTTTAGTCCTGGATAGTCCTGGTTTAGACCTGGTTTAGTCAAGTTATTTCAAATCAATTCTCTATGGTTCAGTAAAAAATAAAGGCTAAATCAAGTCTTTGTTAAACCACTTCTTGTGCAAAGTTAATATAAAACACAAACATTTTAATCATCAAAACAGTGAAAATGTCAAATGTGTCGCATTAATGAGTTTCAACAACAAAACTGTAGCGCTGTAACAAAATAATTTAGTAAAATATACCAAAAAATACTCAGCATACAGCAGCATTTCAATATTTTTGCACACGCCTAATGCATATGAGTATCAGAAGTGAAAAAGCTGGATCTGTAAAAGGAGCTTTGTCACAGCGTGCTCTGCAGAGACAAGAATAGAAGCATAAAAGCTCTGAATATTGTCCTGTTTTACTGCAGTTTTACCCATTACGTTTAAAGGAAGGGAACGCAAATAAGCCGCTATTCTACTTCAGTAACAAAGAAATGACTTAATAGCGAGAGTGTGATTAGTTCGGTGCCACGGACGCACTGCTTGTAATTACCTGTCGCACGGATTGGATTATCTCAAGCAAAACAAAAGGAGAACCTATAGCTGGAGGACATTTTGCAAGCTTTTGGTAACAGGGCAGCTGCGAGGTCTTAAAAGTCTTAAAAAGGTCTTAAATTTCATGTTCCTAAATTAAGGTCTTAAAAAGTCTTAAATTATGTTGTCCAAGTCTTATTTTTTCACAAAGGTCTTAAATTTCATTATCCTATTTTTTTGTAAACTCAACCGGGCTGCAGTGTAATGTGAAATGGAAGGAGAGTAAAAAAAACAACGTGAAATAACGTAACATGAATGAACGTCTAATTTGGAGTATGCGCAAACAATACTTCGTTTTTTGGCACCGGCGGCAATGAGTAAACAATCAATTCCGTATACAATGACCAAGACTCAAAACTCTGGTCAGATACGTACGTGTTTACGTCATCGCCACCGAGCGTCACCACCGAGCCGCC